TATGTTAGGCATCGAAATATAATATGGTGTGCTATCATAAAGCGTATTGAAGTGCAGTAAATAGAGGATATACTCACAATGATGTATGAGGTGATACAAAGTTACGTTAAGTGTTTGACCTAGTCATGTTTGAGTAAATAGTTCGACATGTACAGTATCTATATGTATGTATATCTGTATATTAACTGAATAATAATAGCCTAACCTATCTAAGTTGTATTCTACAAAATACTAGTGTACAGTAGTTTAGTATTATTATTTTGTTTATCTCATTTTTAAATTGGTTTACTTTATAAGGTTTTGGGTAATAATATATTATTATTACTCAAAATTTTATAAATTATTAGTTATTATATATACTAAAATACAATAATTTATAAAACCTTATAATTATTTATATTATAGTGTATAATATATATATTACATACATAACTTTTATACCAGCAGAAATATGAACTGAGCGTGACCTAGTTCGTCACAACTTATTTAATTTGAAGTTCCGCAACTAATAGTGTGTATTTTAAGTTACAGTATATATAAAATTAAAAATAATTACTACCTATTGAAAAAGAATTTACTTTATGATATCTGCTCAACTTTGATCATTATGATCAGTATAATAAATAAAAGAATATGAGTGGGTGAAGTGATGGTAACAATTGATTCATATACACATAGCTACTTATAAAAACACATACTACACGTAAAGGTATATATATCATTAAAATAAAACGGATCTGGCAAATTAATAAGCACTCGTGCGCTCTGTCATAGTCTAGAATGAACTATTAAAGCTCTCGGTGGGCCACAGTAAGCATCCAGCAGTCATGGACCAAAATCGAATGTTGTTTCGGTAAAAGTGCGCGCGCATTACCCGCCCCACACCGCACCATTCCGGACGTCCATTGATGATCTTTTTAATCTTAATGATATGAAGTGTAATTGTATGTCCTTTTTTGTTTATGTCTACTATTTGACCAAAAACAAATAACGGATTATTTAGGATTTTTTAATATAAGGATTTTAGATTGAAATTTATGCCGGTATCATGTGTGCATGATGAGATGGAGGGCGCTGGCCGGTGGCGGCGTATCGTTCGCTAGATTTGGGCGTCGCTGCGTCTCGGCTTTCGGCGGGTGGCTGGTGCGCGGCGGCGCGACTGTGCGCACTCTGTGCCGCCACGCACGCTTGGATAGCGACCCAGTCTGCTCTGACGTTTAGGCAAACCGTGTCGTCTGACACCCCGCTCACCCGCTGTATTAATCGCACATTTCATCTGCGCATTTAGATATACAAATTAAATTCCAAATAGTAATATCGCCTCGGTACACGTTAGGAGGGAACCGCAGAGAGTGCGAAGCTGTGCGGCGATCGGTCTCGATAGTAGGTGTGCGAGCGTGCGGGCGAGCGGCGTGAGCAGTCAGGGCTGCGACGACTCCGCGCCGGGCCAGCAGCTGGCGGTGTTTACACGCCGCGCCTGCACCCGTGCCACCCTTGCGCCACCGACCGCCACCGCCAACGCCACTGTCACCATCGCAGTGCCGTGTGCGCTCGCTCGTTGCAACATACACGACCCCTCATTTACTATTCAACGCTGTGAATTTTTAACTTTGCGAACGACCGACGATAGAGGTATTTAAATAGTTATTAACATTACTCTCTCCAGAGAGAACTGTTGTAGTGCACACTAGTGTCACGAAATAAGAAAATAACACATTGAAAACAGATTTCCATACATCATTTAAGTGATTTCACAACTTCATAAACATGGGTGCTAAAGAGAGCGTGGAGGCTGCTAAATTTTCTGCGCAAAATTGGAACAATTTCGAGGTTCGTAGTACCTTTAAATTAATTTGCACATGGAGTGTTTGTACCCCCTCCCTCCTCGTGAATGTCTGTATTATGGTCATATTGTGCCATTAAATAACAAACTAATCAATACCATATGAAATAATAATAGAGTTTCGTGCACAGTAAAGTTGTGTCAAGTAAAATTATTATGCATGTTCACAATTTTGTTTAAATAAAATATTAAAATAAAGCTTAAAATTTATAACGTAAGGTACCATTATTTAATATTGAGTGCTATTATTAATGTTTATATATGTATATAGAGGCACTGTACAAATTGAAGTACTAATATTTGTATTGTGCAATTTACTGCGCATAAAGCTGATTAGTTTACAGAAATCGAGTCGTTTTTACTTATATAGGATGTGATGTAGAATTGAATACTTTATACAAGAAATTACATGACAATTCACGACGATCGTAATATAGTCTTCCGCAAATATTTTTATTTATTTATTTATATAGTTCAAGCTAATATGTTATATGTAAACAATAATGTTATATATGTGTCTCCCTTTTTATATTGAAAAGACGTAAAATGAGTAAGTTGTACATGTAATATTTTATCAGGCTATTAAGACGAAAGTGACTTAACTATAACTTGTTGTAACATTAAATATCAGATCAATCACAACCTTTTATTAAACATTAAAATTATAGCTATGAAAAACTAACGAAAATTCTATATACTTATTTAAAAAACGTTTAAGGGAATAGCTTTTATATAATTCGATATGAGAATAATAGTCTTAGACCTTCTAATGTGCGTTAATCATCATAATAATCGCAGCTATAGAAACTATCTATTAGTATAGCAAATGCAGTAGAACTTTTATGGTTTCCCAACCATATCAGAATATTGAGCTAGGTAGAAGCTATGAGCAGACACATTTACAGATGTCCTTTATATTGCAAAACGTAAGTTAGACAAACAATTTAAATATACGAAATGTTATTTATAGAGGTATGAATTTTGCGGAAATACTTACTATATTTCGGCGTTTATTTTAAATAGACTTTGTGCAACATTCGGTATGAAATAAAAACTACTTAAATATATTGATTAAAGTTACACTGACAACTTATACTTTAGAGTAGTTTGACTTATTCAAAGGTTGCTTTTTGTAAAGCAAAATTATTTGGCCGCATTTTAGAAGAACTGGCATAGTTTCGCCGAGGAATCACTTGGTAATGACTAGCACTTTTGTAATAGAATCAAGATCCATCTAACTTGAAGTCGAGAAATATTTAATTAATATGAAGCGCTGACTAAAAGGAATGTTGTTACTGTATTATATTCACTGAATAGTAAATATTAATAATAATACTTAAGTAATGACCTTGTTGCGGAATAACTGGTATTTAATATCAGTAATCGTCACGGCAAAACAAATGAAATGGAACTATTGGAAGGATATATCAATAATCGCAACATGAAGTTAATTAATACGAAACTAGACGCATAATGCGTCTTTAAAGATTGGTAATATTTACAAACACCGACCTAATCAGCTATCTTTGAGGATAGGTTCATTTTTATCTTAAGTAATCTTATTGCCATCACGTCAATTTCATTGACTACTCCAACACATTTATTATTGATATTTATCATTTTATTTACCGTATGTAATTTATTCGACTTTATTTCTTAATTTTTGCTGTCGCTCATACATATTAAGCATGGATTCGACTTCACCATCGTTGATCAACATTATCTAATTCAAATGATATAATAATATTTAATTATATTTTTTCAAATGTAGTTGCACCGTTATAGATTATAGTAAAATTATTAACCTTTGGGATATAATGCGATGTGAAAGCTTTCTTAATATTAATATTCTTAGTATTAGCTTTCTCTGTTGCCTGTTTACTGCGTGGACACAGAATAAAATTTTATAAACATGTGTCCACAGTAATTAATAGTAGTACTAGAAATTATTTATTGAGTAGATTTATGGTTGGATACTTTAATTTATACATCTGTCAGATTATATACATTATAAAGAATGGAATAGAATAGCAGTTTAATCAACTTAATTTATATTAAATATTTACAATTAGATAATAATAGTTGCTGCTTACAAATTGTTACGATTGTTACTAAAAGGAGTTAGGGGAAAAAGTTAATAATATACAATGGTCAAAATATATAGTTGAGAGTTTAGGACTGTACATAAATGTTTCATTTACATAAACTGTATATATATTATAGGTAATAATAATATATCATACAAATCATAAATAAAGTTTACTTAAAATTCACTTATTCTACACAAAAATATTTATTATGTGAAATTGTACTAAAATTATTGTGTAAAAAATGTAGTCGTATATAGTTTTTTAATCTGTTAGGTATTTTATGACTTAAGTAGCAGAAAATAATTGCTATATAATTGTTTGTGCATGACCACCTCACTAACCATGCTATCAATTAAATAAGAAAATAAAAAATATAAAATCTAATTGCCACTCCTTTTTTCAATATTTAAAATATTTTTTAATATATCATGTTAACTTATTTTTATTTTACATATGTAAAAATAAGTGTATTGAAGTGGTAATTCTGTTTTATTTGCATGCAATAAATAATTATTACCTATCTAAACTATGAACTTCAAATTAATTATTATTTTGTTTTACAAATTTTAGAAATATATTAATCCAATTCTTTTTTATACTCATGCACACCGCAAGTATTAAACTGAAAATATAGAATTTTCAAGACTGATTTTATGTCATTTTACTGCAATATACCTTCGCCACTGAAAAACAGAGGTACTTTATAAATAATTAAAATAATAGTTGAACTGTTTTATTTTTAAAATTTATGTTCGTTTTGGCAATAATATTTTATAACTATGGACGGGAATTTAATTAATTTATTAGATTTTCAACTTTCGCGACAATTGACTTCTGACTTTCGACTTCATCCTGCTGTCTGAACTAACCACAACAGCACAACTACAACGAGCGGTCGCACTCACCCTGAAGAAGACTTATCAAATCCAGTTCCATACATAGTTATAAAATACTGAATTTATTATTGATAAGTATAGAAGATAGAGAATGAAATGTATGGTGTTACAGCATGGTGTCGTGAAACATCCGTACCGACACGGCACTCAACGTTCCCAAAGTCTCAACCGCGGACATTCTCTATCGCGCTCCGATGGAACCTGGTGACATCACGGGACTGCGGGTAATTATAATTCCGTTTTATATAGACTACTAACTTCAAAAAGAAGGAGCATGTTTCTGAAGTATTTCTTTAATGTGGATGTTACTTGATATCTTGAATCGGTTGATGTTATTTTCTAGATGAAAGGCTTGAATTACAATTTGTTTCTGGTAACAAACAAACTGATATTTATTAACAATAATTAAATAATAAAAGACTAATCGACATTCATTCAGTTCTGGTGAAAAATTTTATATATTAACTTAAAATAGAATAGAGTAAGAGTATAGATAAAAATAATAGAATAGATAAGACTGCACAGCTTGAAGAAATAACAAGGTTCAAAGTAAAGGTTTCTGATGTACAGGCGTTAATGTAGAGTTAACGCAGCTGGATTTAGCAATGATCTAGTACATTGCAGGAAGTCAATGGATAAAAGACTCAGGGCGACTTCTTATTATGTAGATTTATGAAAGGCTATGATTATTAGATCTATGACACTATGAAGAAGTATTGTACATATATCCCTAAAATTGACATGAATTAAACAAGAAATCGATACAGAATTTAATTTAATAGAGAGAATCTCTACGTAAATGATGAGTTGCGATGGTATTCCAAAAAAAAAATTATATTCGTAATTAACAAGTACAGTATATAAAGTAAAATTATTAGCTCTTTTGAGTAATAGTATGCCTCACTTAGTTCTTTTCGGCATACTTCTATTATTAAATAGTTCTGTGAATTTATATGCAGGTTTATTATTAGTAAATCATAACAGATATATATGTCATAACGATATAATTGTGTATTATCTTATTTACATATGCGTGAAATAATCTGTTTTTATGTTAAATTTGACATAAAAACGAATAGAGTAAACCGAAATTTTCACATGTTGTTAAATATGGACCAACCCCTACCTCTTCAAGGTTATGTATTATATTTTTTCTTATTAGTTTTGTATACGCCATATATAACTGTTTTTTGTTGTTTGATTATAGTCAATAAATATCGCTTGTAAATGTATACGAGGTCGAAGTCGCGGCACCACTAATTTATTAATATTGAGATGTTAATCAATACCGCAGGCAGCATAGTGCAGTGCGCCGAGTGCGGTACGCGCACGATGGGCAACAAGCTATCGTCGTGCTCCTGCGCGCCCATCCTCCGCAAGGCGTACCGCTATGAGGATAGCCCGTGGCAGAATTCACGTCGTCGAGATGGACACTTACTGAGGTACTTAAGATGAACTTCTTAGCATTCTTCTTCTTAGAATCTATCATGTGGCAGAAAGAAACATCAAGTAGTTTCCAGGACTTGTGTCTCATGAGTAGGTTTAAGATGCCTCTTGGCCGACGTACGTCAACACTCACCCTTACCGCTCGTGAATTTCTCTCCCTGTCTAGCCATATATGGTAAAAGCCTGCTAGTGCAGCTGTAGATATACGTTCTAGTAAAGAACTTACTGCATTATTAATGAATATAAGTTACTTCCCCCGTATGTTTGTTTCTTTTAGTATTTTGTCTATGATTGTTTCTATCAATTTGGGTACAAAATATCCTGAATTTCTAAAGAAAATATGCATTATTTTATATTGTAAATTCACTGGTAAAAGTATGCTAAAGGTGAACAGATAGGTATAAAATAAGGTTTATTTTTCATATATATATATATATATATATATAGAGAATGTGTCTGCCCATAATTTACCATCTACCCGCGGCTCCTCAGTTTACCTTAGATCTTTAGTGATTGAAACACTGCGGAAAAATAGGGAATTCGATAATATCAAACTGTGAATTATTAATTTACTAGCTACTGGCCCCGGCTTCGCACGGGTGTATACGTATTATATATATAAACCTTCCTCTTGAAGCACTCTATCTATTGTAACCGCTTTAAAATCCGTTGCGTAGTTTGAAAGATTTAAGCATACATAGGGACAGACAACGACAGCGACAGCGCCTTTGTTTTATACTATGTAATAATGATGATAATGAATTTACTTTGATAAGATATTCTTATTCTTATTTATGACTATATAAAAGCGTCAAAAGTCTGTGGGTAACAGTTAAAAAAGACATTCAGTAGTTGACCTCCTTAATTGAACTCGCCCTATCATGACATACATTATATAAGGTAAACATACCAGAATAGATAAAGCAAACAAACTCAGGTTGCCTAATCAAAGCGTCAAAATTACATTGCGATGTAACCATAGTATTTCTTTCTACATATTTGACATCGTTTGCAACATTTGATCTGCAAATAGCATTGTTTCATATTTTTCTCCATAAATGATGAAATGTATAATTTTTAAAGCAAAGCAAGCAAAAAAAAGGTTTTTCTGAAATGAGTGTGCAAATCATCTGTTTGATGGTAGGTGAACCTTACATGCTCATAAACTGAAGACTAAACTTCCACTGTTCCAAGATTGTGACAATCAAATGTTGAGTCATAGCAAACGGTGTTAATACAAAGATTTAATGTTCACCTTTGATACCAAAATACCATATGCAATTAAACTGTTTCGTGGTGAGACAAAAATACCGACACTGGCGACTTTGTACTTTACATTCTTCTTCTAAGTAGTGAAACTATATAGTTCTAATCAATGGTCAAATTTTGTAATATAATTATTTAAATATCACAGATTATTAATTTAACATTATATTCAACATATACAGTGTAATAAGTATAGAAACCTAATTTAATCGCCTGTGATAAAATATGTATAGAATGTCTCATGTTAGAACTGCACGCACGCAACCTACAAGTACGTGGGCAGAGTCGAAGGACATCCAGCTCGTCTAACTTTATTAAGGCAACACGCAAACTAGGAAATGGATACAAAATACTGCACGTCCTACACGAAATAGCTGTCTGCCTTTGATACCAAACCAAATTAGCTGCAGTCTGTTATATTTCGCTTGACCTAATTAATGTCTACTTTAATGGGACGTATGCTGCTATAATCTACTATCTCCGATGAACATAAAATCAGTAATATCAAAGTTTTACCAATGCAGTTAATTACGGTAGATTGCACCTGTAATATGTATATAATTTATATTTTAATTATCTACCTTAATGGATATCAAAAAAGCATACTGATAAGATTATGCATATCGTTAATCACCTACTATTTTTCATTACTGAAAATAAATATTAGTCAACATAACCTTAATTAGTACCTCAATAATCTATTTCTGAATATAAAAATTTGTACACATCTTTGAATGTTTGTTACTCAAACACGCGATGATTTTGTTGTTGGGTACCTCCCATTTGGTAGTGAATTTACATTACTCGTCGCTATTACAGCGCCGTCTTCCGCGCCAGTTTTAAATATACTGTAACTAAGTGTTGGAACAAGTTGTCCCCGCCTTTGCGGTCCGTTAAATCTTATAAAATTCAGTATAAAGTAGTACTATTCAATCAAGTACTGTAATTTTAATAGACACTGGCTGAGATTAATTTGTACCTGCAAACCCTTAATTATACACAGTTAGCTTATACATATATTCTTTGAGTTACTTACTCAGTGTATTTACTCACGTTATATGTTTATTGAATGTACATATAATAATACAATCCATTCACCATATATTGTTTTTGTTATACATACCTTAAACTATGTACATAGTCTTGTATATGATATTATATTAGTTACATTATCTGAACATATTTTTATACTACAACATTGGTAAACTTGTATTTGACTCGTCTGATGATAAACTGTTACTGTAGCCTATATACTATACGTGCGTGTTGCCTTTAATAAACTTAATTTATCCCTCTTAAAAACATCAGGCTGTAGTCTCTCGACAAAACCACGGCAGGTAGTTCATTTCACAATCTAAGTGTACGCAGGAGTTCCTCTGCTATTACAATGTCCAAGATCACTTAGGTTCAACATATAGGAATGAATTACATGTCTTGATGGCAACTGTTGCAATGGTAAATGGTAGCCGTGGGCATTGAACAATTCATCAGAACACAGTTCGTTGTAGGTTGTATGTTTCGGTACCATCTGAGAGATCGAGATCATCGACAATTCTTAAAGCACGTCTCTGAACTATGTCAAAATGACTAAGCTCGTATTCAGTGGCTCGTGCCCAAAGATGAGAGCAGAGCCTCCATATGCGGCACGTAATGATTTTATCTCCAATTTAATTTATTTTTCCTTACGATTTATATGATACTGTGAGCATCATCGTTGTTGTGTTGTGATTTGTGTTATTAAATATATTATACTATTCAATTGAAATAGAAATAAATATAACATAATTAATAATTTTAATTTGAGTTATTCAGTTAAGTAACATTTTTCTTTACAGGTTGTGGGCAGAGGTTTTCCATGTGTCTGCAAGTGGCGCAGGCACCGTTAAGTGGCAGCAAGTATCCGAAGACCTAGTGCCAGTGAACATCGCTTGTATCCAGGATTCTCCAGAATGTGTTTTTCACATTACTGCATACAACTCGCAAGTGGACAAGATCCTTGATGTACGACTACTGCAACCTGGTACGTTTTTTATAACTTTGAATATTTTTTATGTTTAATACTATATTTGTGCTTGCGCAAGTATGCGCTAGCAAGGCCCTCCTTACTACTACTACAAATAATACCTATTACTATAAATATCGTAAAATTTCTACTTTATTACTTAATATCTACTAGTAAATATCACAAAATATTTTATACCGATATTACCTTTTTTTATATTCAATATTTGTAATTCATTAACTAAAAGTTTATAAATGTATAGTTCTGCTTAATATAGCTTTTTCACTGTCGGAATACGCTTTACGGTATTTAGTACGAGAAGAATGCTCCAGCACTCGCTGTAACCTAGTTTTAAATATATACTGAATAGTAACTTTGAACGAAATCTGACGTGAATAAATTTATTTATATATACAATTGAAATAATGATAATATATAAATAAATTTTCTTCCATTTGTTCAACAAAGAATTTTTTTATAGTTTAAATATTTTTGAAAAATTGTATAAATCATAATCTTGTTACTCCTTATACTGCTCATGCGTTGCAGTCTACAGGAATAAGATGTTATGCCTGTTATCCTGTAATTTGGCTGTCTCTATCTTATTTTTTAACTGTAATATAGCTTATAAAACACGATGCTACTACGATGGTAGAAAAGATGATACGCAGATGACTTTTACTACCTCGAAAATGTTTCTTTCACCATTGATGTTTTATTGTTTTACCGAAATAGGAAAAGGGAGGTTACGAATTTATATGAAACGGCGTTATTTCTGAACTTACACATATTTTATTTTATATTTACTTGTCTCATATCAAAATAATAAAAAAAAACAACATCTTGTTTTTTCCAAAGTAATTTGGTTTACTAATTGACATCCATTTTTTAAACCAATGTATTTCAAATTTCAGGTACACGGATTGGGCAGGCGTCCGAATGCTTCGTGTATTGGAAAGACCCGATGACGAATGACACCTGGGGCCTAAACTTCACCTCGCCTATCGATGCCAAACAATTTCGAGAATGTTGCGTAAGTTACACCAATGTTATAATCAGGAAAGATTATATGTTTATGTGTATTGGTTTGTAAAGAATAAATTATTGATGGATATAATAAAAAAATATGTATGTCCAATTTAAGAAAAGATAACTCATCTGTAGCTACAATTAATACGTGCTGTATTAAAAAAAACAGAGATTCAATAATAGCTAGATTCGTATAGGTTGGATATTTCATAGTTATATTCTACGTATAATATTATTTAATCTGTATAGCTTGTGCTGTAGTTACTCGATCTTACTCAAGATCAAGTACTGATGTAACCCTGTTTATGAAACAGGGTTACATCAGTCTACAGACCGATTTATTTTTGGACAACGACATAGATGTGATGGATCTAACACAATTTGATAATCTGTGTTGATTCTAGTTCATGTTTATGCCCAATGTAGTTGGTTTTTATTTTCCATATGGTAGGGATTTTCGTTAATTGTTACAAAAATGTGAAACCACTAATTTTTAATACAATGCATATGTATATGTATACATAATGCCACTACATATATGTAATTATTTAAAGTTCCCGCAAATATTTTTCATCTATTAAATAACATTAAGTATTTTGTCACTTTGTTTTAAAGGAAGATGGAAAGTACGTGGGTAGAGTGAAAATAGACACCTATCTATCTATTTTAGCAATTATTTGACGTTTTTAAGTTGGATAGTCTTTATACAATTTTTTGTAGGAATTTGAAATCAGTATATTTTTTTTAATTTTGTTTAAATATTTACCTCTGTGACAATATAATAGAAGAAGCATCCCTCAGAGTGAGTAGCCTTTTACTTACGAAGGTGCAAAAGATATGAAGGAAACTTCTTGCTACATTTATATTAATCCTCTAAAAGCTATGAATGCTATTATTTATAATAATTGTCACAGATGTGATTTACTGTATCATTTCATGATTTTAGTCACCATCATTCAAATTCTCACGTAAGGCATCTTCAAGCTACAGCCTCAAACTGGAGCCGCCGGGTAACAAGCAGAAATTTAAAGCCAAACGGAAACCACTCTCCACTCCTGCTAGTCCAAATCGATCAAGGTAATATTATGTTACCTTTTATATTATTATTAGCATTACATTCATATTATAATATTAATTATATAGGTTTAAATTTTGATCGAGTAGGCATTTGTAAAAGGTCGTCTGCACGAGTATCTCAATCTCATCTATTTCAGCCGCCAATCAATTATGCTATACCGGTTGTAGGGTGAGATTAGGCAGTGAAAATACAAGATAAGAAATCTGATAACTTAGTTTTCCGGAATGGTAATGCAAAGGTGTGTCGGACTGTGTGTAGGGCACTGGAATCTGTGCAGCCAAAGGTGGTGGAATTAAAGGGGAAATATGAAAGTATATTATAAAAATATATGTCGTAAAACTATGTGTATTGTTGCAGAAGGTAAGGGGAATGAAAACCATGATAACAATAAAATATTCATATAAAAATATAAATATTTAAAATTACGTAATACGCCATGCCAGCCCGAATGTCCTGTACAACGGGCGTCACATGATACTGTGATGTATGTGGTGACGTTCATGTATATACGCGACATTTATCACTTGTTATCAAATGGGCCATCAATTTATTTGCCGTTCCAATTATTATACCTATTATAATTACACCTATATTTATCTATTTTATGTACGTTGACGAAAGTTTAATAATTTAGTTACTTCATTGCGCTAAAATTATGTTTTCATATTTTTTAGTTTGACGTACGGTCGTGAACCGCAGTGCACTTGCATGACACAAGAGCAATATGCGCGCCTGAGAGCACAAGATCCAAGATATCGTAAGTACACAATATTCTGGAATTCACTATAGTACCAATTAGTGGTTATCACACCAATAATATTAGATACATCTTTATAGATAGCTACTTAATTCTGATTTAAAAAATATTTGTACTGCTTTCATGCAAATATGCTTTAAAGATTTTTGTTTTATGACACCTAAACTATATAAGCACAATATTTTGACGTTAAAATCAACAAAGTTTTAAATAATAATAATATAATGATAATGATAACGCTACCGAGGTAAACTTTGCACGTAGTGGTCTCCATGGGTACCTCTGATTCACCTATTCCACCCAAGCAGTTTTGTAAGATCTATTTCTGTTGAAGAGTGAGATAAGGTAGTGGAATTACAGGATATGGGGGCATGACATCTTAATTGTCCGGAATGGCAATGCATGAGTGGTGTTACTGGTGTCACATGCTGACGTGATGTCGTGGTGCTCTTCATGTATGTCGGTGACGGTTAAAACTTACCGTCATACTTACTTATAATTACGTGGGCCGACAGTTGTTTATTATTCTTGTAAATAGAAAAAAACATTTCAACACTTTTAATTTTCTCAAAAATATGTAGATCAAAGAACATTAATACATAATAGGACTATTGTAGATATATCATTAGTGATGAGAACTAGGTTTTTCTATTAGATACCTAGTTTAATATTAAAGCTTGTTCACGTACGCCCGCATTAGGCTCGTCCACTCTGCCGCGTACCACGACCCGTGCTATCGAGACGGAAGCGGGCGCTGCCGGCGGCGCCACAGGCCGGACAGACAAAGTCGCTGCCGCCACCTCATCCACATCGCTTTACGACAACGTCACCAATTCGCAACCAGCACACCAGGCGCCGCCTAAGCGTGAGCTTCTAATAGTACCATTTTCCTTGAACGTACTAGGAAAACGACCGTACTGTATTTGCGTTTGACATCATTTCATTAGTATATTCAGCTTCTCTGATAATAGAATTTCTAGTTAATACCACATTTATTCAAAGCTTTATTGCTGTAGTTATTTATGAAATAGGTGTGCAAAAATATGTTACAGGTTATTATTTGACCAGTATATTGAATATTAAAAAAGCCAAGAATCATCAAAATAAAAATCAAAGTGTTATGTGAATACCAACAAAATGAAAATATAATAAGAGTAGAATTAATGTTATGTACCTTATTGAATATTACGAAATGCGACATTTACAACACCTTCACAATATTTAAAATAATACTTCTATGTATATTATTCACTTGAAGATTATATGTAACTGTATTTTATTATGTAAATTTAATATTACGATATTTTTTCAGCGGCGGCTCGTCAAACGGAATCTCAACCACCAACTCGGCCTCCGAAATCACAAGAGACTTCAACCATGACTACAAATACTTCCACAGCCCCTAAGACTGTTACTGCCTCTGTTGGTACACATGGTTCTAATGTGAGTAATAATAATTTTATCAATTAACACAAGGAAATATTACGAAATAAATCAGCAATATATAAAAAATTGTAAAAAGTAATAGTAGATCACATAATTCTGCAGATATTAAGAATTTTATGATTAATCTTATGTAAATATATGTAATATAGATATTATGTAATGCACTTATTGTTTCTAAAGGACTTAGTAGATACAGGGTACTTAAGAGTTCTTCTTTTTATGTTTGTTTTAAAGAATCTATTTCTTTATATTCTAAAAGTATGTTGCATTTATTCCCTTTTTATCTCGTACTCGTGATTATAATAGGTAATAATTTGATTAAAGATCATCGATGAGAATCAAGCCGTTGGAGCAACTGGAAATGCAGCTCAGCATAGTCAAGATCTGAAGTCAGAAGGGGTACAAGCTGGTGGAACACTGACTTCGACCAAGTCTTCTGCTACTTCTACAAGGCCTGGGAAAGAGCATCTGCAACATATGCCGAAGAGCGTCGACTATGGTGACGGGAATGAATCGGTTAGATTGATTTTGCCAAATATTTAATGTTATAAAAGCATTTAATTAATTCATATTAGTTAATATTCCATATATATATAAATATATATATATATATATATATATTTAATTAAAATGTGAAGGATCGCTACCTGTACATGATATACTAATGGGAAAATCTATAATTAAGAGACTTTAATAATGTAATAGAACCCAAAAGAATGATTATTACAATTATTGTCTGTGTATTTATCACGTTGTCTCGGAAATGACTTTGTTTTGGTTTTGTGGTTTCTATTAATATACTGTGGTAAACAGCTTAACTTAAATTTTAGTTTATTTTGTTATAAATAGTTTAAATAAATAAGAACAGGGAAATCCTATGTTTTAATATTTCATGTTACAAAAGTGAATTCGACTTACCAGTACTTATTTACCAATTGAATACGGCAGGAAAAATAAGGATAAATAAGGGTACTTACAGTAGTATGTAGTAATTGTGTTATAGAATATATACGTATTATATTTAAAGCCTATTATGCTTAGAGCGTATCTCTTGTGTCATGACTTAGTGATAATATTTTGCAATTTAAACTTATGACTATGGGGCTATTTTTGGTTAAAGAATTAAGAATTAAAGAATTTATTTAAACTAAAAACAGTTATACCAATAACATATTAAACGTAAACAACTACATTAGTTTACAAAAAACTGTGTTGCAGTTATTTGCGCCCGTCTCCAGAGCATTGTATTGGTTATTAGGTACATAGATAAAATAATATGTTATTATAATTTCACCCTAAATTTTCCATAACTGAACGTCAATTTCCTCCAAACATTTTCCTAAAGACTTAATATCAATTGACGTCTAACTACTGAATTTGTGTATCATTTATGGTCATCGTTGATCTTTATTTTAGTGCGTAGCTGCATCTTAATGTGTCTGCTTTTACACTTACCCAAACCTACTCGAGTATTTACACGCTTCAATATTTAATTAAAATATAATGTATTTTATCTTCCAGTCACGGGAGTCAGATCGGCATTCAGCACATCATCACAATGTTGTCAACAATAATACATCTGGCTCACGGCGCACTAAGTCTAAAAGCACAGAAGATATGAATATGGGTAAATATTTGTATGGCGAATATTTAGTTTATACTAACTGCATATATAATGCATCAGTATTTAGTCCCCGTCAATATCTAATATTCTTTCTAATTCCTATATTAACATAATGTGCATTTGCCCTAACCGAAGTACCTGTCCATATGTATAGAGGACGAAAAATATATATATTTTTCGTCCTCTGTATTATCGTAATTAACGTCTCAAGTCAGTAACTAACAATGAAATGACTCGCCATATAATGAAACAATAAATGTGAACTTGATTAAAAATTGGTAAATATGCATTTAATAAAAAAAAATTACCGATTCTTTAAAAGATCATATAATTCATATATTCGTACCTTTAGAAACACTGATTAAATAAATGGTGATTTTTATATTATTGTGATCTTATTCCGATAACATTATATGTTACCGTAGTGATAAGTTATACCACGACATTATTCGCCAAATAAAAATTATCATATGTATAATCATATAAAAAGTCATCAATCCTATGATCTGTCTGTGTCTTATATATATTTTATTCCTATTCATTATACATTCTGCAGTATTTGTGTAATAAGGTCATAAACATACATAATTATATACCTTGTAATATCTACTAATAATAGAATCTTCTTTTGTATTTAATATTTCTTCTTCTATTCTTATATTCTTGTATTTAAAAAAAAATGAAATTTAAAAAGAAAAATACAAAAGATACAATATCATTGTTTTATAATTACAGATTCCAGTACTTTGAAGCGTATGTTAAAGCCGATGCCTTCTACTGAAAGTCCAGTGACATCTCCTGAGATGGGTCGCCGTAGGTACGGTGGTGCTGCACCATGTCCTCCATCTTGCGGATCGCATGGTCATCGCCACCCGCAGCACTCGCATCATGGACATTATTCTCATGTTGTCAACAATAATAGCAGCAGGCAGAGCTCGCAACGGTATTTGTATACTAAAGAATTCTACATTTATAGGAAGATAGGCTCAGAAAGACTTCTCTTTAACTCTTAACTCGAATCTGTAACCACAGCATGTCATTTCATACCATATATGAAATGACATGCTGTGGTTACAGATTCGAGTTAAGAGTTAAAGGCACTAATGTTTTGTCATTAATTGTGCCGGAATGCCTAATTTATAAAGGACAAAAAGTAGGATAAGTAGGTCTCATATTTTAAGATTAAATAGTTTGTATACTAAATAAGTATTAAAGTCTCGATTAAGGGCCCTTTAGCACCATGGTACTTTTAACTCATACAGCTTTATTTAAATTAATTAATGTTAAAGACAAAATTAATTGAGCTACATTATAAATAATGATTATGGTAGTAAATAAACTAAAACTTATTGCATAACACAGTCGCGGCGTGGGCGTGGGTGCTGCTCCAAGTGGATACCCGGGACGCGGGCTTTACTTGGAGCTGGGCGGAGGTGAAAGGGATATGTCACCACCTTCAGATAATGTGATGTTCGATAATCAATGTTACGCCACCACGCCTTCTTCCTCCAATGGCAACTCCGATCAAGAACCTTGTCAACGCAGGGATGGTAGGCAACATCATCACGGCGTAAGTATCAAATTTAATAAATAAAATTCTCTTTTCTTCACAATTCTTGTAACAAAACTTGTCCAAAACAACTTGATCGATTCTTATGAAATTTTGTGTGTATTTAAAACGATGAGGGTGGTTCACTTTTTGAGGAAAACATGTTTTATTATATTTGGGCATAAAATATACATACAACGAAAATTTTCACTCTTCTACCAACAACCTCCATTTTTTAATATTGATATTAGTGATTTAATAATATTTACTCGGGGCGATCGTTTTCCGGGTCAGTTAGTAATAATATATTCTACCAGTTACAGTCAAACTGTAAGTATTTCAATTTAAACCGAGTTTGATTTTACAATAAGTCTGTCTGCCTGTCTTCTACCTCCTATTTTAGACGCCAAGAACTTCATTTATAAGCTTTATATCGATTAAAGGGCAGTCAAATTACAGAATAAGAGCATAACATCTTAATCCCCCGGAATAGGAACAAATTAAAAAATATCACTTTCGTCACAAGACATCTGTAGTGCTGTTCTTTGATATATTATAATATAAGAACTATAGTATTTATTTTTGCATTAGTTTCATTCAAAAAAACTTGAACCCCAAAATAAATCCAGCAATTGATTCCTAATTAATCCATATTATCCCCATTATCTATATTATGACATGTTGAGATAGAATAAACAGAACACCAATGTCTACCTTCATAGTTTTTCTCAAGTCTGTGATAACAATCCAATCATTATGGATAGAATCAAGAGTATTTGTAGACCATATTTATTTTTTGAGATTAATACTAATTTATTATCTTTTCCTAGAAACCGTGCCTATCCCGGCAAGCTTCTCAATCGAGCGCGACACCCGCGCCTGGCTCTCCTACCTCTCGATTACTTCTTGAGTATGAAATGCATCTTCGAAATACTCTTGCTAAAGGCATGGACGCTGAGAGTTACAGTCTTCACACTTTCGAAGCATTGCTGAGTCAAAGCATGGAAGATTTAGGTGAGTACATAATGTACGGTATCGTAAAATATTTGTGCACAGAAAAAAAGTCAATTTGAGCAGGAGTGGTAAGAATCCCGTCGCAGGTAGAGTGTGTTTCCCAATATAATCATCGTCTCCTAATTTGGTTCTGATTAATCAGCGGGTTCCAGTATCCTACTTCTTTATAGCAACGTATGTTATCGGGGACTGATGAGTAGATGATTTGACATGAGATGACAACATGACATGGCTACTAAGCCATGTCATGTTGTTTAAATGATATAATAATAAACAAAATGTAATGATAAAAATTATAAAGGCAAGAGTCTAATCCAATGTCTTATTGTCGTAACTTTTATTTTATTATATTCTTGATTTATGACTACAATTTTCTCTTAAAATATATAAAACATCTTTACTACGGACAGAAAAAAATAAAATGTATGAGTAAGTATGAAAATGCACAGATCGACTGTTGGTCGTACGCTCTGAGGTTTCAGACTAGTATTGAGTTTAAATTGTTATTGAATTCTGTCTATTGCAATATCATCTTGTGTGCATTTATCTTATATAGACCCATTCTCTTCAGGTTATAGTGTCCACAAGAGTTTTCTTTTATTACTATGTTTAATTTACTGTTTGGGACCTGACCTTGTTTTGTAATGGTGTATAGTGTATCTTTTGTAAATTGCAGTACTATTATAGGTTACTAAAAACTTAGCAATAGCTCAAACTTCTAAATACAAAAAATAGTGTACCTATGGAAGCTGTATAGCTATTATATGTTCACTTAGGATACCTTCGAGAATAAATTCTCAAAATAATATTTGTAATCGTACCAACATCCCTAGCGTGGTAGGCAAAGCATTCTAAAGATAAATTTGTAATTATTTCCATCACTAAAACATATCTAGAAATTGATGCTAAAATATATTTATCTTCTGATTAATTCTGTTGCAGAAATTGTCAGATCTCTTAATTGAGTTGGGAAATTAGAGCAAATTCATTTCATTTTTGTTTTTTAATTCCTTTGGATTGTTCCAATTCAATAACATCAAAGTCCTCATATTCTATTGTTTCTGTACTCTTACTAACCATTCTTATCTTTGCTTTCATTATAAAATACTGGTAGATGATCTGGTTAGATAGGCTATGTTTATTCATTTTAAATTTCCTTCCTTTCATATTAGTGTTTAATGTATGTGCACAAAGATAAAAACAAAATTTATCAAAGTTATATTTAGGATAATAAATTATAAAATAGTTAAACTATGCTACATATAAATATGTAACCAGTAGGTAGAAATTAACTAGCTGTTGCCCTATCATTGTAAAAATCATATTATCTGATCTAGCAACATGAAGTGATCAAAAACAGAACAACGTAGCAAAAAATATATTAATAAAATATAAAAATAAAAATATATTTTATTTATTAATTCCTTTATACACAAAATTGTATACATGGTGGACTTAATGCTTTATGGAATTTTCTACCAGTAGGTACATAATGTAACACTTAGTAAAAACCAGTCAAATATATTAATTTTAAATAATTTATTCTTTTTCTTTAGAATACAATGACAACCTGCCGCCAAATCAACGAAGCCCCTATCCATCGCGGCGTCGTAAGTATTATACCTACATATGTTTACTATACCATTAAAAAACTTACTTAACGACATTAGAACACATTAGTGTATCAAAATCCATGTCAAGTTTAGTATTAACTGTTTATGAGTAAAGAATTCTAACATACTAACATTATATACAATGAACAAGGAGCAACTATTCATCACTCACATATGAAATATGCAGCCAACCATGGATTGGTCAATTTTAAAATATTGATAATAAGTTGCAAACTCACTCAGATATTTATTACTAGGTATTTTGATACTTAATTTCAATTCCATTTTTGTTTTTTGTTTTGTTGAGGACCGACCCAAGAATCCATTCTACACTCTTTGAGAAACCTTAAGGAGGCTGCATTAAGGGCTAGAGGTGAAATAATCAGTTATTTATTAGTATACACCATCGCACATTATTGGATCAACTTCATTGATTCTTAGTACTTCTTCTTCAACATATATTTAGGTTATAGTAGAACTTCTAATTACACTCTTATCACATTTATATTATAAAACATTTATAATATATTTGTGATTTTGTAACTCGATACTATACTACATACAAAAGAGTATAAACATCAACTTACCGTTTCGTTGGTTTCTTGGAAGTTTCTTGGAAGCCTTTATTCTTTCAAAACAAATACAGCTACTAATAATAATTAGAAACGAAATGGCTGATATGTCTGAGAAACTTTCGAAAATTATTCTACATATCCAACACAGTATTAGAGTATTAAATGTGATTTTGATGTTGTAAGTAAATCATGATTTTGTTATTTACAGTAACGCATTACGGTATACACGGTCTAAATGTGTTTTGTTTATTATTGTGTGGATGTCCATGTATTTGTAACCGTATGCATATAAATCTTTTAATTACAATTAAATAATTATGTGCAGTTATTAACCAATACTTACACATTAGTTCTAAATGTCTGTTATAGTTATTGTTTTGAAATACGTATATGTGTTTACTTATATTCATTTTAAGAATTAAATTAAAATATTAAATATTTTAAACTCCTCCATGTCTCGTCTACTTGTCCATGGAACTATTTTTAATATAAAAGTAATTAAGTGGTTTATTTCTGCACTTGAATTTTATCCAAATCCATGAAATTAAATAAATTACGACTAAATATGCGTATATAAAAACAGGAAGATTCATGCTACCAAAAATACTGATACTGCGAGTTTGACAGAGAAAAATATTCAGTTGCATGTACACAAGTAAATTAGTTAAACTAAATATGTAGGAAATATTCGTGTGTGATAAAAGAAGAGAACAAGAATATGTTTAAATCTACACAAAAATTATAAGATTAAAAAAGAGACAGATTTAGTAAAAAAAAACTTTGTACTAATTCGTTAGCATGCAATGTCACAGTGAGTATCTTTGACTCCCACGCATTTCTACCTCCATGCATCTGTATTTGCATGGCTTTCCTGTTTATTTAAAAGTTAAGGTACCTCACATGCGTGCCAATAGTATATGGCAAAAGGCAGTGAAATCATTGGTTCCGATGGCACGCCTGAGAAGTACCGTAGGCATTATATAGGAATACAATGTGACACCAGTGCCTATGATGCCACTACAATATTGATGACATGCATGTTGCATGGCGCTTCTTTCTTGGCTTATTTATAAAATACTAGGTATATATCCTATTATATATAGGTGAAAAAAGACGATAAAGTATTTTTTCAGTTCTCTTATTATCTATCAATACAAATAAATATATAAACAATAAAATCCTTTATCCGCCTATATACTCGTAATATGCATATATCATATACACCTACTTAACGCAAAGATAACTATGCAATTGAATACAGTGAAGTAAATGGAAAAACCTGTGCGTTGCCATATCCGTCAGTTTAAACTATGTAATATTATGTTATGTAATGGTTTAAACAGAAACACAGTTTATAAAGCAAGGTACTTGGTGGAGTAAATAGGTGAGACAGAGGTACCCACTTAAACGACTTAGTACAAAGTGTAACGTAGGTAAACTACATTAGGTATGCAATCTTAAAAAAATATATATTTTGATATTGTTTGTAATGGTTGCATATATTTTAGTGAATAGTTGTATTGTACTGGATCAGTAAAGGTACAGTTTGTAGTTTTTTCTTTTAAGACTATATTTAATGATCAGGACCAGCTTCACAATGCTCGGGCGGAGGCCGATCAGATAGATCGTCAACTCTACCGTTACCACATCGACTGACCGTAGAAAGGCAATTGAGTGCTCGATCTGATCGTGATGGTTATTACAGGTATAATACATTTCTTACCACCCTTTGTGTATAATATATACGTCTCATTATTAGGATTATTTATCTCTCATCTCATCTTGTTATTTGAATTATTTAGCAAGTTATGTTTTGTAACTAACTTAAATAGATCCAAATCAATTGATAATATTGAGCGATACTTATTACTTATTAGTGTGATTCTCTAACAATATTATTTATCGTGTGGTATTTCAGTACAATGACAATCTCAGGAATTTTATTCATTAAATGATCTATCAGTTGTTAACTGAAATCCTTAAATTTAATTATTCATCAGAACTTCATTCAATTTATGTTTATGATTATTTTTCGAAAGTTAATCATCCAATAAAATTATTACTTAAATAAACTACCATAACTATTGCTTATCGCATTATAATGCACATTTATATTAGAATTCTGTTTATGCCTCTGCTATTGTTTTAGTGATCGCAACGAACTAATGCGGGAGCGCGAACGGGAGCGAGAACGTGGTTATTTGAGTGATCACAACACCAGGTAAATATCTGATATGTAAAAATCGTGTTAACAAACTTCTTTGTTATAAAACAAACAGCTTAACGGATTTATAGTGATATTTGGTAGGCCTGAGAATAGATTGTAAGCTATTTTTTATAATCCACTGTATAAGGCTCGCCTTATCTGAAAGTAATTTACAGGGCGTTTGCAGAATCTGTAGTATATATATAATTTTTATTCGTTTGTAATGGTAAACATGTTGAATACGCTAAACTCAGCCATTCGGTCCTCACAAAGCTTTTTGTGAGGATCAAATCGCTGAATACTTATATGAAGGCATCGATTACGTAATCAACACCTTCATTATTAATCAATTACGTGTAACTTTCTGGAAGTTACGCACTTTCAGTATATGTAATTTAATTCATTATTATATATTAAATAAATATATCGATACCAAGAGTGTTAGGTATCGCGTTTTAGTATCGTATCGCGAGTGTTAGGTATCGCGATTATTCGTTGGATAATCTACTGATGGTAGTTGAACAAACTGCTGTCACCTACCGATATTGACATCGCTGTACTCCAGTCGGCTTGTGATCGCGGCTACTGCAACCTAGTCAAAATGTCGAGAGAGTAAATAACTTATTTATCATAAAATTTAACCATGTTAAGAAGCGACTAACAATATAAATATTTAACAATTTTCTCTCAGAAAATTTATAACCCGTAGATTTAGGCCAAAAGTAAAACGATTTTAACTATTTTTATGTATTATTTTGTTATAGGGACCGGGTTCGAGACCGAGATCAAGGATACTTAAGCGACCATCAATCAAGGTGGGAATACTATTTTATTACTACTGTTATTTATTACGAGTATGGTGAAGCAGGAGGGTAACTGTTCTCACCTGTAGTAGTATGTGGCATCACAATAAATTGTACATGGCTTGATCAGTAGATGTATTAATAGTAATATTGTTAGATTTTTCTTCGGGTTCTCTTGTAAGGACACGGTAGTTGGAATTACTCTAACTCTAAAATTATGCCTCAGATGTGAACGAAACATATTTTCTTTACATACTACATTTATACCCAAAACACAAAATATATCATCACAATAATGCAAATAAAATATAAGTAAAAAAACTTCGATTCCTGAAACATAACGTCCTAAAATGTATGAAATTAAAATATGTCCGTCTAAAATTGTTGATCGTGGTCGGAGAATATTTTTGTTTCATACGTGGTTGGCGTGATTTTTCAGTACTCTCGTATTTAAATACACTACTCGTAATTAAGTAGTTAAATATTAGTTATATTATTAATTATTTATATGTATTTCTGCTACCAAGAAGTATAACAATATACAATTTACAAAATAACACAGGCTTATCTATTATAATTTATTACGAAATAAAGGTTAATATTCAAGATTCAGCTAGATTTGACAAAATCTATAAGCATGTTTCTATTGTTATTTTGTTGTTTTATAAAAAGGCACAATAAGAAAGCATGTTCCGTGAATAGGTGTCCAATCTGTGTTTCTTTCAATCAAGAATTAAAATTATGACGCGTAGAACGCTTAGTGATGCTCTCAAAATAAAGGAGTAAGCCTTCAACTGTACCCGATTTATGGCCTCTACTGGTTTCAGTGCCCTGTAGCACTATAATTTTAAAACAAATTCACTTCACAAATAATGTAAAATGATAACCCGTAATATTATAACACTATCATGAGGCTTTATATAAAAATATGACAAAAACTGATAATATGTAATACTTCTTTGTGTTAGAAAAAAGATAAGAAGATAAAACTATGAGTGAGTAATAATTTATGAACACGTATTAAAAATAGATGTTAAAAGACGTTTCACTGCGTATCTACGCTAACGGTATAAGATGGCAAGTATGTATATGTTTTAGGCGTTCATAGTCTGCGGTAACTATTTACCATCAGATGGACCGTATGCTTGTTTGTCACCACCGTAGTATAAAAAAAATAATTAAATTAGCATAGTGAATTTTCTTGAAATGTGGCCACAATGATTTCTATGGAGGACCGTGGGAAAGCCGACCTGACTCTACTACAGTGATCAGCCACTAATTCCCATTACTAACATTTTCTTTCTCTCATAAAATCTTAAGCATTCAAAATCTACTGTCTGTCTTGTGCATGACAGACAAAACTGCTGGTTATGTAACTGTTCATTTATGAACCAATGGTATTAATGTATAAGTTACATTAATTAATTTATAATGTATTATTAATGTCAGTATTGTATTTTTCTGTGTATAGAAAATATATAGATATAAATAACATTCGACTAATTGAATGACTATAAAAAATGAAATATCATGGTACATTTTTTCATATATATGGTATAGGTAATAACCATATTACCTATACCATATATATGAAAAAATGTAATGCAGAAACATACAATATATAAACAATCCTAACTAAGTCGAGCCTGTGCTATAGGTACTATATAAGTAATAAATATACTTTCATAACTTTTTTTTGCATAGATATTATATATAAAAATACTTACCCAGATCAGTACAAATAAATGTACACATTCTCATTACTACGTAAGTGTTGCGCGGGAATAGAACCTGCGACTTTATTGGAAGCAAGACGGTGTGTTAAACAGCCATACCACCGAATAATATTACTAATTGTTATACATAAAAAAAAATATTATTAAGATAAAATAATATCGTTTCTTCAGCGATTTGACTGATCATTACTACGTTTTTGTATTGCTCATCATTATAATACTTATTTTATTGTTTTATACTTATGAATGTAATGTACTAAAAAGAGATTTCAATTATTTGTTGACAATTTATAAGTTATAAGTGTATATCAGTATTATGTAGAGATATAGGGTGCTGATAATAGCAACATATAAATATTTTAGTTCTATAGGATAAAGTAGGTCAACACAAGATACAGGATATCCGGATAGATAATAGTGTTATTCGATAACTTACATCTATGTACTTCAAAGCTTGTTTCTAAGCCACACTATTTTTAAGGGGGACTTTATTTACACATATATATAAAATTGGAGTGTCTGTTTGTAATATTGAAATAACCGCTTTTTGCTACATGCATATGAATATAAATACGGTACATACACCAAAATATTTTTTTTTTACAATTTTTGTCCGTCTGTCTGTTTCGGCTAATCTCTGAAATGACTGTACAGATATTGACAGGACTTTTAGCCCTTTTAGGACTATTAGCAGGTAGCTGATGTAATGAGGAGTAACTTTGGTTTAGATTTATTTTAAATAAAACTAAACCAGAAATAAAGTTAAATTCCACGCGGAGTAAGTCGCGGGTACAGCTGGTAATAAATATAATTACACAATTTACTAGCTACACCTTGTTTTTGTTAAGGTAGCAAACTATTTATATGTATGTTTATTTCCGATTATGCCCAAATACGAGATTAAAATATGGAATAGTACCACTGAATATAGATAGAAAAACAACCAGAATAATACAAGGAGACATTTTGACAACATAAATGTCAGTATTTTGTAGTTTATCAATAACGCTGACATCGCAGGAATCGTCTCGATGTGAAGGATATTAAATATAAAAGATAAGTAACTACGTAAATAATATATGGCATATAATTTATTACTTTACTAGCTATGCTTGCGACTTCGTCTGCTTGACTTTTAATTGATTGATCGGAATACAAAATAGTTCTCGTCGTAACAGTGAGCAAGTAATCACTACGTTTTTAATTCATACAAAATATTGCGCCTTAGATCGATTTTCTATCCCATTTCGACGGGGATCGAGATTCCGACGGACTGAGCCTAGGTTCGAACCTTTAACAGTAACCTAAGACATTCATCAGCCTTTCATAAATTCTATTACGGCAATCGAGTACCCCTCACCCTGCCAATAACATTAGAATAGTTAAAATACATATACTAAACTTTTACGACTATAAAAAACTTCAAACGAATTCACATTTACAGACGACATACGAGTATAAATACCAATGGATTTACATTTAATAATACATATTTCGAGAAAGACATTTCGTGGCTTTTTACGCTTTCGTGGAATCCGTTTTAACGGATTCCCAAGAAAATCCAAAACTTCCGTAATTTCGGATATCCTAAACATTGATTTTGTGTCATGTGGATTTTCAATGGGCGCTATATAAGAAATCTGGGAACAAACGAAATTTCAAATAACTATATATATAATTATATAACAAACTAGCTGTTATCCAGGACTTGCTTTGCACAACTACTATTGCCCTATTCTAGAATATTTATTGAGATAAAAGATATTCTACATTTGTCCTCGTAATTGCTTATATCTTCCTATAAAATTATATTAAGATCCATTTAGCCATTGAAATGTAACAAACAGACATACTGGCATACTTTTCCATTTATTATATTCGCATGAATATCTTTACCAATATAAATTATATAATATAACCTCAAAAAGTTTAAATATTTACTAGTGACATGGAATCAGTGAAGGATGATAAATTAGTATTATCTCATCGCGCATCGTGGTGAATTTAGTTTCTAGAGAAACTACATGGAGGTCAATCTGACATGTCACATTGCTGACAATAGGGTCAAAATAGAGGCCCTAATAACTTGCCCATAGCTATTAATTTTCTCTCTCCCAAACGGAGTATTAGACAAAAACTACAGAAAGATCTTATGCCAGTACTCAGATTATTTTGTAAATTTACAGTGTCTCCATCACCGGAAGGTTAGTAAGATATAAATTGGGACACAAGTTGTTTGGGTCAAATTTCAACTAACGCCATTGGAATATAAGTCGGGCTAGTGAATTACTGGGTCATGATAGTTTTAATTCTTCTAAAATATATTTGTATAGTACATTATTCGTATAATAATATTATACAATATATGTCACTACCCAAAATAAATGTTAATAAATTGAAGCGAGCTCATATATGTTTACTTCCTGATCCATTAGTTTCAGCTTTTAGCTTTGAACAAGATGCCAATAGTGCCTTTGTGGATAAAATATTTTCGTTAGTAGACGTTATACGTAGTTATTGATCGTAGATTCCCGTATCTACTCTAGTATCATATCTCAGTTATTTTCGTAACATTTTTCGTCCTGTTTGCCCTGGGGTATACCCATTCCCGACACAGAATTAGCCAATTGCGTAGCAAGCAATTTTATGAATATTGAAGAAGGTAAAATAATTTATGATGGTGATATTACATTGAATCTTTTTGCGCTTCAATAAAAAAATGGTAAACCAAGTTCATTAATTTCAGACGAGGGCATACTTTTATCAATATTATGCTTATGAGTGATAGTATTTATTTATTTTATAGAAGATATAGCTATAGTCTGTATAACGATTGTCTTAAATAGACAATCGTTATACATACCTACTTATATTTTGATTGGGAAAGGGTGTCTGTCTGCCTGTCAATCTGTCTGTTTGTTACTTTTATATCACTATATATATAAGGCTATGCGAATCTTAATTTAATTTTACGTGAAAGTAAAATGTATACCTCTGAAATGGTATCTAAAGTAAAGTTATCGTTTTCAATTAATTGGTATTAACTTATTAAAACATCATAAGATTGCTTAACATCGGGATTAAAAGTTAATAAATATGAATAGACCCATCGCACGCCTCCATCTTAATAACTCTATTGTATCTAACACTTAATGGATCTAAAATCATCTACGTTAATCTGACAAGGCACAATAGTACCCTAATGGGACTTCCAACAATGTCTATTTGAAATTAGTTCGGGCTCAATTGTTTGTATAGTATGCATATTGTTGTTAGTTTTGTTTTATGAGATATTGTATTTGTAAATATACAGTACAAATTGAGTATATGTTTCATAAATATTTAAGTATTATGACAGTATCAAATAGAAAAAATACAACAGGTAACATACATATCTATAATACAGGAAAACGTAATTTAAAATAAAGTAGACCAATTTCAGATATGTAAATTACAAATAGAACTTCAAATTCAAAGTATTTATTATCCAAATTGATGCAGCTATAGTACCCAACATTGAAACACATATTCGTATTGAGTACAAGCAATCTGATTTCCCTCTTTCAATGAATCTAAAAATTGATAACTTGCTACGCTTGTATATTAAAATTTCAATACCGTAATCTAAAATCGATAACGGATTATTTTTTGCGCCGGAAAATATACAAGTCTATAGACATTTTCGTACGTACTAATACATATTCTACATATAACCATAAGTCTTGCTGACTGACTCAATTGGTTTTATAAAAACCAAAAGCATAGAGTTTTATGTCTAAAGGATAATAAGGAAATATGGGATTACAAATTATTTTCGAAAATTTATTCTATGAAGGTTACGACCATGACAATGTGAGAATGTATAATGGGATACATTATCACGTGGTCTCAGTGGTCTTACTGCATATCACCTATATCCAAACATTTGCATTTATGACTTTCTTCTTTGTCAATACAAAGAACCCTAACCTAAATGTATATGTGTTATCTATATAGGTATATATTTACAAAAATCTGTTACTTAGTACCCTTAGTATACATGCATAGTATAAATTTAATAAAACGTTTCAATAAAATTAAACGTGGTAAGATCCCGTGATTATAACTAATTATACATACAAATGTATATTGAAAGTAAATAATAATATATTGATTATCCTTTATTATTATTCAAATAAATAATTTCTTTTGAATAGTCATAACAATTTGTTTTTTAACATTCTTATAGATACATTCTTATAGATACTCAGAAATTTTTATAAACATCACAATCATTATATGTGTGAGCTCCAATATCTTAAATATTGGTTCCCATATTGTACATGGCTTTATCGTAGCAAACGTTAATCTGTTAAACGGGTGCTGCTTGTGGAGATTGGTCTGTTCGGGTTATTTCCTTTAAGCAAAAATGCAATGTCACAACACTGTTTCTAATTTAATTTAAAAATGAATCTTTATAATTGTGACCATGTACAAGCTCATTTGAAAAGAATAAGAGTTGAGTTTCTTGTCAGTTCTTCTTAGCTCGTAAGTGCTAACTGACAGTAAATTTGACATATTGTAAGAGTCTGTAATACCTATACCTACATGAATAAAGATATTGATTGAAATACTACTAGGGTAAGTATTTATTGTGATGTACCTATACACTAACAAAAGAGGACACAAAAACTAAAACTTGACCAAATTGATTTAATTTTCATACATTTTAATTGAACTCACTACATATTTTTCATAATATGAATGAAATACTAATGTTGAATTCATAATAATAAATTTGTGTACTTCGAAATATTATATCTATACAAGAATCCTCGGAGGGTTATCAATTCTGAAGCTGGAGCACCTGAACATGATTCTAATAATATTTTCATCGGAATTACCTATGGGAATAGGTATGTTGTCAGTCGGATTGAGTACTTTAAACCGGAACGCTGGGACACTACTCATGAAACTGAATAACTTATTCCAAGAGTTCTCCAAATATAGTGTAAAAATAATGAACTTTATATAGAAAATATCAATACCCTAGATAATCGGGAAACATTAAATTTAAAATTCTATATGGCTTACGCCCTACATATCCATTCACAAGCGAACATATGATAGTTAATACAATATGTTCGTCTTAACAATTTCTATCGGCTCACTCAAGCAAGCATCTTTCCTCATAAGAGGAAGCTTTAGTTTACCCTAGATATATGTAGGATTTAATTTCCAGTTATCCCACTCTAGCATAAATGTATTTGTGGCCGCTTTCAAATCGCACAAAAGAAGTAGAGGTAAATTGTTTTCACACTCCGTCATTGTACGGAGTATAATTACTATAGTGTTTTTCATTTTTTAAAGATATTTTTTGCTGTGCGATTACGATTTCTTTTGAGAATTACTTGCGACGGGACATAAAATTAATCTCTAGTGGCTCCATTCATGTTATAGTCTAGATTCAAAATAACTGAAAACCGTCCCCGAAAACATTTTGTAGTTCCCTTATGGAGTAAACTTTAACTTTACTATTGTTATCTATTCAGTTTCGTGAGTGCGTCCCGTTGCGCCTCTTGTATTGGCGAATCAGCACGTCAAGCGTGGTACCGCCACTCAGACGGTTGGCGTGGAGCACCGCCGCCGGGCCCGCGGCGCTCCCCATGGGACTCTTTGCCCAGTCTCCGACACGAGGGCAGCCTTAATGACTCCGGCTATAGGAGCAATCGGGCTGACAGTTTCGAACAACGGTAATCATGAAATTTTGCTTGGCTGGGATTTGCATGTCAGACAAATCTTAAAGCTTTAATCTTAAGAAAATTAGTATGTAGCCAGTTAGGGAATATAGAAAATTATAAATATAACTAAATTAATTGCAAATTGGCTAATAAATTATCATAAATTACACTACACAGCCGAATTTATTACACTCTCTATTATTTTTAGTTTGTATAAGTTAAAATGTTTTGCATAAAATTTGATTTTAACTGATTAGTAATTATTATACTTTTGAATAAATGCAATTTACATATTTGTTTTTTTGTTCTAGAGGAGTATTCGATCGCCAAGATAGCGTACGGTCAGAATACACGAGTGATCGCGAATCAACCCGTTATGGTATCGTTCAGCAGGCTTCCATAGATAGTACAGACTCAAGAATTTGCTACTTAACATCGAGTGAGGTTAGTATTGTAATGTCTTTATTTTATTTGTATTGATTTTTATTGAAATTATGAGCACGTAGTAATAAAGTAAAGTATACATTTTATTTATTGAGTACTTACCTGTGGAAATACTCAATTATAAATTATAAATGGAGTAAGTGGAGCCTATATCTGCAGTAAAATACGAAGTTCTCAGACGACATGCTGTTATCTTCAGAGCAAAAACGTGTTTGAACTATTTCCTATAGCTGCGATATACAACTGTCGCTTCAAGATTTTTTATAATAATAATATAAGCCCCTGAAAAATCACATAGCATCATCTAATTCCTCTCTTCCTCTAGAGATTTTGTTATGGGTACTAGACAACTGATATAAATACTTTGTATTTTTTTGTGAATGTATAACAACAATAAGTTTTAAACCAGTGACCATTTTAGTTAAGTTACAATAAGTAAGTCGGTGTACTAAACTATCAAAATCCAGGAACATAGTGGTTGAAAATGTAGTTATAATGCACAGTGGATTTAACAGCAATAGCATAAACATTCAGGACGATATGTGGGTGTTCAGATATCCACAGACCTACCAGATGGTCACGGATTTGATCTGCGTACAGTACAAATATTTATTTAAACTGATGAATATTTATTTACATTTAGATTTTATTGGTAGAATATTCTTAGGTTCGAATATTCTATGACTCCACGAGTGCAATAAAAGTAAGTCACAGTCGCCTCGCTAATGTGGTAAACAATATCCAGACGGCTTGTATATTTGATAAAATATTTTCTGCGTAAGTGTGCTCAATTTTGTTATAAACTTAAAAACTGCTGTGCGATAATGTGTAATAGGGATATCTTACCAAATGTATAAGAAATAAGTACTGTAAAGGTACTAGTTTAAGAATAGAAAAATAAAAACGAATTCTCCCAAATCTTCATGGATAATATAGCATTAGCTAGTTAAATCGAGGAAAGACCCCAGCTTCTAGTAGTGGTATATTTATGAACTGAAAAAATGGATATATACCTACAAGGAAAATTCAACCCACGCGCGTCCATTTATAAAGATACACCTAACTATTACGTAATTAAGTTATATCTTGATAAGCTCATTGTCCTGGATTTTACGCTTCAGTAAGTTTTACGGTTGTTTAAGTTTTACGATAGTATAAGGCACTAAAAACTTGACAAAATATGTTGCAACTCGCACTTTGGGTAATCACCCAAAGCTGAGCTATTTCAAAGGGTCAACGCTTTCAAGAAAACTTAAAATATTATAGTGGTTCCAGTAACGAAAATATCATGTTATAAAATATATGTTTAGTTTTATTTAATGTCTCTTATTTACTATGGTTAGATTATCGGCAGATTTATTACAATTATATAAATATATATATAGGGTATATAAACGGGATATATTATATATCGAGGTCACGAGGTGAATCGATCTGTAACCAGGACGCTTGTAATAGTGTTGAAATACCGGGAGCTCATCCCGTTTACATAATGTGTTTCTTCAATTGTAAAAAACCCCTTAAAAAGAACAAAAGATTAATATTATATTAAAGTATTAAACGTTATTTATTTTGTATTAGTAGTTTAATAATTGCATTTTATCAAAAACAATATGACTTAAAAATTTTAAAACAATATATACGTTATACCTTCTATAGTTATAGTATACTAACCTACACTTATAGAGTCTACTAAAAGAGACTAATGTAAATATTTTTACAAAATAACAAAGCACTAATTAAAACATGCCGAATGTTTACTAGGAATACTGATTCCTCGTAGTTTACAACAAAGGGCATCGATTTGATTACAAATCTAATTGAGATTCCGACAAGCTGCAGCGGATAATGCCTGACTCAGCCTTGCCTTTGTGTCTACAGTTTGTAGGAAATTGCTTTATTATTTATTCTACGTGATGTTTATATATGCGTAGGTGTATAGTAAACTATACAGAATACTATAATAGATTTAGAGCAACATCTCTATTTTAATTATTCTATCATTAATTATTTATCAAAGCTATAAAAGCTAATTCTTTATATCAAAGCTATAAAAGCTTATTAATTTTAAAATTATATTCTAGAATATAATTTTACTACTAGTAGCTAATTCAATCTTTGTTCAGTCTGAAATTCCAAGTTCAAACCAATTATAAGTGCTATAGTTGAATAACTGTATTAAAATATTTTAATGTACTACAATAAAATTTTGCTTAAAAAGAAAATATTTTTCATATTGTAAAAATGATGTTAATTTCTTATAAAAAGAGACGAAAGTACCTCACTGATATCTCGATTATACTTCGAGAGTAAAATTCTTAAGATTCATAATACGAATATGCTGTTATAATTGTTTAAAACTTAAAATGTGTTATCTTCTGCGCCTGCCAAATATGTTTTCATATTAGGCTTTCTGCTTTCATATACAGATTTAGGAGGATCAAAAATTATTAAGGATAACACGTGCATATTATATGACATGTATATTTAACATAAGTCTACATACTATATACTGTTAGTCCAACCAACAAGTCATAACAGTTTCAATTAGTTTAAACGATATTAATATATTATTCGAAATTAATTTATGTTCATTAACAAGTATGTACTCAAATCATCGTTACATAAATACGTGCTCTAGTCTATTAAATTGAAATTGAAATACTCTTTGCAGAGAAAAAATCTATTGGTATTAAATAATTCAATTTCCTTACTCAGCATTTTTAAATAATTTTCATCAATGATATTTCATTATAAGGCAAAAGAGATTTACAGTAATGGACTTAACTTTGATTCATTTAATATACATTTGTCTTTGTTTGAATTTTCTTAAAATATTTAATACGCAACCGATAAGAAAAATACCAAATATTAAAAAAAAGACATTTCAGTTGATAATAGAGTTATTATGGCTTTTTAATATCTAGTAAATTTTTTTGGTTATTCATTAAATAGCTTTCCTTAACCAGATTTAGCTTTCCTTCCTAACAATCTAAATTTTGATATAGGTAAGGTGTAATGGTGGTACTATTAGAATAGTGTACTATATAGTGTAATGTGTGTTGTGTAAGATTGCAAAAAAAAAAAGTTTTTACAGGCCGGTCTGAAAAGTTCGTACCGAATAATTCTGTATATCGAGAAGTTTTTTTATAGTTTTATGGATGTAAAATGAGTCGTAATTAAAAAGAAAATATTGTCTCTTTTCTACCTGTCAATAAGGTGTATTATTTATTATTAATTTCGAATACAGAAAAATTAATTACAAGTTACTACATGTAATCTATTAGTACAAACTCTTGGAATAAGAAATGTTATTTTTATTGCTTTAATGGTAGGACAATTGAAACTCAAAATAAGGTATACTACGTATGTTTCATTAAGTATATAATGCTTTACAAAATTTGTCTACAACATAAACATTTAAGATCACTGCTAGGTGACGTTAAACTACATCATCTTAGTAAAATAGGTAACAGTAAATTCTAACTTCCATTGTCTACGCTTCGTTGTACATAACATATATACTTATGTAATGCAGCATAATGTATACAGGTGTGATATAAATGTAGTATGCAGAACCAGTCTATAATGCCGTAGCTATTGTCAGTCCGGAGCAAGGTCTGGGATAGTTCGGCCATGATCGGTGTCGATCGGAGGAGTTTGCGCGTTGGGGCTCGCGTCGCTGCACCCCAACCTCCTCCAATCGTATCCTGAACGTAGCATCAAAAATATTATTTTGAGGTTAACATCTTCCACTTATAATACAATGAATCGCGGCCAATCGTGGGTTCCGAGTGTATAGGTACCTCGAATAATTGACGTGTCGAATGTCGCGAAAGAGAACTCTCAACCGTAAATTGAGACGTTTTGTTTGTGTAAATACAAAGCTTTTACTGTCAAGTGCACGGACAAAGAAGATTCACGTCGTTCTCGCTACATTCTAGTTCATCTCCAAAACTTAATACATGGTTGTTTTAGGAAAGACTGTACCTCCCAATAAACTGTTGTGACATTATGCGTCTCAGAAACATATCTCATGTGTCAAAGTGAAGTCAATTCTCAGGCCTATTTCGATGGGATTGTTGTCAAACATAGTTAATGCCTCCTTACTATACCAAAAGATTAAAGTAATTAGCGAAAAATCTAATTCTATTAGAGTTCCTGCTTGTATAATGCTTGATCCACCTGTGATAATTCATCTTGTTAAATGTTATCTTTGTGTGTAATTTCCAAAGCTGCCAATATTTACTACTAACGTTTTATTGCAATTCATAGTGTTCAATGTTATTAATAAGTAAAACATAGTTATATAATTGTCAGATGGTTATAGATAATTTATTACTAGTTAAATTGTATGAGACTTTCAACGCACAGATATATACTATTGTTGGATATAGATAGTTAATTTAAATATATAAAGTTGTTCATTTATTGAAGTTTGCAAAGCAAATACGTTATTACTATGTTTGTATGGTAACTGCATGGGGGCCATCAAATCAAAGAATGCTGTTTTTATGAAGGTATTGTTCAATTTATATTTATATATAACGTTAATATTAGTTACTATTAGTGATATTTTACTCAATGCATCATTCTACGTTATTCTTGCTTTACCTTTAAATACAATATACACAAAAGTAAAAACAGTATAAAATAAAAAACTTAAGCTTAAATTTATATGGTCAAATTACAAATTCATGGTTTCTGAAATAGGCTATTGATATGACATTCAGTCGGATGGACAGTTACAACAAAAAAGGTATATTAGTTACAATAGAGAAAATTTTTGTAAAGATTAATTTTAAACTATAACGTACTAATATTATAAATTCGAAAGATTTGTTTTTTTAGAAAGCCTATATTCTTTCTCATAATATTAACTTCTTTTTATTATCTTCATGTCAAATTTCATTAATTATCGATCAGCTGCAGGCTTGAAAAGGTTAGACAGGCAAACCTATATTAAACAATCCAGAAAACCTTATACCAACAAATAAATA